ACGCATTAGAAATTGGAGCAATATTCATGCAATGCAATAACGTGGTGGTTTGGTTTGTGGTGGTAGATGCACAGTGCATCTTATTTATTACAGCTTTGCAATCGGGGACGACTTCGACGACGACGAAATGTGCGATAATCAAGGAGAGGAAGAAGAAGTTTTAAACTTTTCATTAAAGGATTATTTTATAATTTGAGAGCAGCCCAGAACTTACTCGCTCGCTGTTATGTTGGAAGGAGAAAAAAAGGTGCAATAATTTAATAACAGAGTGAGAGATGCACTAGTGTTTAGAACTTATCGAAGGTGGGATAGGTAACCCAGTAACCTACTAGATTCGTGCAGTGTGTAGTTATGCACAGATGGATGCGGTTTAACGAGCAGATTTACGTATACCTTCCTTCTTCTTGGTAGATATTATTAAGTATTATGGTTACTTTCCTTTATCTGAGGATGCATCTTGTAAATATGTAAGTCTTGAATGCGTATAGCCATTTAAAAAATGTAGGATCGGTTCATTTTATATCGAGAATTGAGATTGAAATTGGATAAAAGTTGGAATTATGCAGGGATGGGCAATCCCAGGATTACTTTAATCAGATTAAGTAATCAGATTACATTGAATGTAATCCGTAATCCAGTAATCCACGAAAAATTCACAGTTTAAAGTAATCCGTAGTCCGTAATCCTAGCTAGGTCTTGGAATTATGTGTAATCCGTAATCCCCAATTTACGAGATTGGAAAATGTAATCAGATTACGGATTACTTTGTTGGATTACTTTGCTCCTGTCAACCGCATGACAGCTCCATCTTGCAACTTCTCCAGAGTCTGAGTCACTTGCTGAACTTGAATGCTGAAACTACCTTCTGAATTCTTCAGCAGAGGTGCAAAGTAAAGAGAATTTTGGAACAATTAAGAGGGGTCTATTTACTACAATACATTGTTGTCTGCCCTAAGAAACCGACTGTCGGATGAATCATTCAAAGCTCTTGTTTTTTGAGCTAATCATCATCATGAAATTAAGTGACGCTATTCAGAATAAACCGTTGCAAACGAAATGTAGCAAAGGGGTGGAGTGAGACAGTCATGCGGTCATGGCATGCCAAAACTATGTCTAGATTTAATTTCTGAAATTCCCGCCTAAAACTACGTCTAAAAGTATCAAGACAAAAACTCGACATTTTCAAGTTTGGCGTCGTCGACACGGTCACTCAGTCATGTCACGTCAAAACTATGAAGATTTTTGTACCCTCGCCCGAAACTATGTCCAAAACAAAAAATTCGACAAGTTTGACCCGTGGCGTCTTCACCGTGGCGCCGTGACCTTATGACCTACAATTCCCATTTACTCACTCATCCATACCTCAAAAATTAGAAACCCGTTGGCGAAAACTGAATGTTGAAATTCGAAACCGTTCTAAAGTTATTGTGGATACAGACCGGCGGACAACACTTTTCCATAAAGGGATTTCGCTTCTCTTCACCCCTTAATACATAAATATTGATTTTTGTAATTCAGATAATAATCCGTAATCTGATTACTGTAATCCGTAATCCGTAATCCACGTCATTAATTTATCCCAGTAATCCAACAAGTAATCCACATTATTTCAGGAACGAAGTAATCCCAATCCAGTAATCCCATGTAAATTTTTAAATTAATTAATCTGTAATCCGTAATCCATCGAAATTGTTGGGATTGCCCATCCCTGGAATTATGTATGTGACAAAATATGTATGCGCCCAGCAGCCTCGTATTAGCAGATCTGCTGCATGGGTGTCACTCACTTCCGCGTGTTCTTCCTCTCTTTCACCGTGATTTGTACAAAATTTGGTCCAATTTGGATTAATTATTTATGCGGATTTTATGTATGTATTTATCAATCTGATTTAAATTCCGACAGGGTAAAAGGCAGAGTCGAATCATCTCTGTCAAGACCGAGGTTTTGAATTTGACCCCGTTTCTGCATAATTTAATACTTTATTAGCTCTCTTATTCACGCCATAAAATGGAAATTGGTCCAAATTTCGAACAAAAGTCAGTCATAAAGAAGTAAAAAAGCGCATAGTAATGTAAACTTAAGTACATAACAATGTAATGATTGACTTTGTTAAATAAGGCGAAAAATCGTCGTAACATAGTATTGAATTATGTCTTAAAAAACAAGTTTTTTTGCCAACTTTTTCTCTCGTCAAAGGTAAAATTTGCCTTCTTAACTCATCCTAGACGAAATTGTACACAGTAATTTTCTAGGGGATTATTATTACGTTGCACATTTTTGCACACATGTCAAAAATAATAATTTGCACATATGTACGTACATACATACCGAGAATATAACTGTACCTGCATCTCGGCGGATATTTGTTTAACTGTTCGTCCCTTACTACCAAAAAGAAACGTTTAAACATATAAAATTGAACGACCGAATTTTTCTCGGGAAGAAAGAAACCAATTTTAAAATATTTTTCAAAATCTGGGTCACGTCGAGGACTAATTTTATACCCGTCATCATCACATTTCTATCATAAATCTCGCCATGAATAAAATGATGATTCATTCATAACGATCTGAAGAGAAAAATTTTGACAGATTTTTATTCTTTCAGTGGGGAAGAAAACGTGGGATTTTTCTTTGTATTTTGCGTTGTTACCTCAATTTTAGGACAAGCGTTACCCATGTATTTACGTACATAATAGTAACATAGCGGAGGAAGGAAAGTAGTTGAAGTTAAGCTCGTGACGATGATAATAATAATAATTTTGTGTGATGATCACATCATATTTATGTTCTGCCTACCTGCCTTGCTACCTGAGTTAATTGCCTCTCTGTGTGTAAGTATATAAGCTCCTGATAAATATTCCTGTACATACATACATTCCATCCGTTACCAATTTTATGTATACAGCCATCAGAGCTAAATTAGAATATAGCGTCATGATGATGATCATGATCACAAGTAGTGGCTGCGTTGGTGGTGGTGGTGGCAGAACAACAAAGCCGCGTTCTGTGCCAAAGACCTACTTCCTACAAAATTATTTTTGAAGGTGGAGGACTCGATTACATTACACATTTACGATCCGATCCAATCCACACAATTCTCACTCGTAATGTAACCAACTGCATCCTTGCCATGAATCCAATCCATCCCACATTTTTACAATAATAAAACACACCTTATCATCCCGATAAGAGCACATGATGCATGTGTAATGCTCAACGAAATCAAAATGGAATAAGTTATTTATTTATTTACTTATTTGCAAACTTTTATCTAATCTCTCTCTGATTTTTGCAATTGTTGTGTACACACATTCACACACACACACATTTTTACCCAACACGTCGGACTACTCCAGTCCCGTCCACCCACCCACGCGGTGAGGAGATGGGAAAGATTGAGGTACCAAAATATCGACACTGGACGTGTGAACAATGCAAAAAGATAAGTGATTTATATGTATGCAAATGATATGCAAAATATTTAGGTAACGGGACTTGATATCTGGTAAATAGACATTTATTTTAAAAACATGGCGAAATATCGGATAAGAAACGGAGAGTTTTTCTTTTACGTATTTATTTTTGCAGAAAGAGTAGAAAAGTTTTGAAAACTGTTCCGTTTGTTTTGCTAAAAAGGGATGTAAGTAGGATCCCGTAGACAGGTATTAATCGTGGCGTGGCATTCATGGGCCTGGCACACCGGGGAGAATATTGTGCTAAGAGGTGGGTGGGTGGAAAAAGAGGTGAAATATAAATAAAGCCCTCGTAAGTGCAAGTTGCGAATGTTGATATTGAGGAAAGTGGGTCACTTGTTCTTCCACACTCACTCACCACCACTGTCTTTAGTTAGAGTCTTCTTGCTCAAGTGCAAATAGTAAATACCATGAAATGCTGTATTGCGAAATCCGGGTTCTCTACGTATGTATATACGTTTTTCTATGAATTTCTTGTACATATTTGCGAATTGTCTCGGGAGTTATGTTCGAGAAGTTTTGACAGGGGATGCGGTGGGTAAAATGCTTATCTGCGAAGAAGAGTTGTAGGGTTTCCTTCATCTATTTAGAGTCTCGGATAAGAAAAAATGAACCCTTTTTGATATCAAAGTCATCATTTTGTGTGTTTTTTTGTTGGGTATTAAATTTGCAGAGAATTTTAACTTTTCTCTCAATTTGCAGAAAATTTTAAAGTTCCCCTTTTTAAACTTTTCACATATAAATATCCACTGTCTCATATCTAGAAATATAAATCCATCTTCTCAAACCATGCAAATGACGCCACATTTTTATTACCTGCCCGGAATTATGTCAAGATTAGAAAGTTTTTATTTCTTCACCGAGTTACTCTTCTACCACGTAAATGCCATACATACCACGCACAATGATCTACGTGGAAGCACCCAGATTTCAAGAAATGTAACAACAATCCTCCTTGTTATTGATGACATTGACTTTGGTGTTAAAAAATAAGACGTCACTCTGTTCCTTCCATTCGCCGTGAACTTGTTCTTTTTTCACTTCAGCCAAATCCAATCCGTGCCAAATTTTCCTTTCTTTTAAGAGCATTGTAGTAACCCCATTTTTTTCTTCTTCCTCCTCCCACCACCCCCGACAAATAACGCAACAATCCACCAGTTACATATTTACATGTACCCACCACTAGCAGCCGGTATTATTTATTATTACAGTACACACACGTCGTCGTCACCTGAAAATGAAATAATTGAGGGCATTACATTACATTACTTACTTGCGGGGGTTACCTTACCTTACCTTACCGTCTATTTGGTCGTGGATACACATTTTGAAGCACGGCAGCAGACTTTTCCACGGCCCATTGTCCCATTGTTGTAATAACTTTCGGATGAGTGGTATGCTATGCTATTTCGATATTTACGACTGGCAACCAACCAACGGCAAGTAGCTCATCGGCAGAGAAAAGTCCTACTTTTTCCACGTTACATCAGCAGCATCGCTTCGATTTTAGTGGGCACGCTGAAACGAACGATGAGAAGCTAAGCCAAGCCAGCAGTGTGGCATCACTTTGCTCTGCATCTTGCCCCACAGTGTGTCTCAACCTCTCTCGCAGGAAAGATCGCTACCAAACCCACGCCGCATCGTGTACCACTTTACAGTACCATCATCCTCTTCTTCAGTGTGCAGTTATTCGTTATTTGACAGTGGTTTCCAAAAAATTGTTGGAAGTTTCTTTACTTGAATATTTTTCTTAATGTGCGTGGAAACGTGGGAGCAAAAACTGGGTGAAAATTTCCACATGCCAGAATTCTTGGTGGATTGAGAGAAATCTACATATTTGGACAGAAATACATCTACCTACACATACACCAGCTGAAATATGCATACGGGAGGATTACTCTTACTCCAGCCGCGTGCCGGTAAGCCAAAGATTTGACTTATTTCCTGTAGAAAGTAAGAAAGTAACCTGATACCCGAATTCGGGCAGTGTTTGCGTGGGTAGAGATGATGAAGATGGATGTTTACCCGTGGACGGATAAAGCGAGTCCCGTTTTTTGTGTGGAGGATTTCCATTTCGCGTAATTCTCCGGAGAAAAGTTTTCCGATTTTGTGTGGCTTTGTAGTGAAATTAAAAAGTTTCCAATGCAGGGCATTTTACCCGAATTACTTTTTGCGAGGGCTTCTTTTTTCCTTGCTCCGTATAGAATTTGGTTCAGTGGGTATGTGGAAGAGTGCTACTTAACTCAATTACCGTCCTCATAATGGTAGCAGCATCTGCATAGTAAAAGTTTTAATGATGCGAAGGTGTGAATCCTGCACCAAAATGAGAATCAGGGCAGTAGTGGATATTTTGGTCGGTAAATAATTCGTTTAGGAGCGAATTTACTGGGCATAATTGGGCAAAATTAGGCATACATACATGAATCTCACCTAGTTTCTGGTAAAGTGAGACGGGTGAAAATCGGGGTATTTTGTATCACACAAAGTTTCAGTGAGGATGAGAATCAGGGTATTTTTGGTCGGTTACTAACTAATTTGCTCAGAGTTAGGAACGATTATTAGGCCGTGCAAAATTATTTAGGCAGTTGTGCATATGTAAATACACACAGATGAGCATATTTAGCTTCATTTCACCTTGTCCTCTCCACCACCAGCAGCTCATTCCTATTTACTTCCTGAATCTGTTCCTCATGGCGAATATCACAATCAGCCTCCTCTCTTTGGTAACTCCTGTTACGAAATATTGATAAAGTTTATCTCAGATCAGCCACACAGCAGGGTCCAAACAATGCATGCAGGAGAATTCAGTGTGCAAAATATTATGTCAAAAATGCGAATGTCTGCTGCTGTCATTTGTGTGTGTATGCTTTGAGACCTTTTTTTTATTTCCATTTGTTTACAAGTTAGAGACGGTAAAAGAGAGGATTTTGTGAGAGCTTTTTAAAATCAGGGTCACTTCCTCTTCCTTCGCCTTCTGGTGGAGATCATTCAAGGATTTATTTGTGGTATTCGCATCGTAATGTGGACGCAAATAAGTTATGTATTTATTTGTGTGGTACTCTAATACTCAATAGATATGTACCCCGTCTCCTTAATTGAGCCATGCTTGGTTAGTTAGCTTGGTATTAATTATTGTTAGGTAATGTGCTCCTGCTTATCTATCTATACTTATTTATGATTAGTTTGTATGCATATCCAGATCTGTCCAGTTGTATGTATGTACATCAAGGAAGACACTGACAGAATCATGCTCACTTTACGTCTCGTGCAGCGTAAGGTTAAGTAATTCTTAATGGCTATTATTACTCTGTTTATGTACGTATGCAGGGCGGAGATGCATTTATTTTTAACTCGAATTCATTTCATGGTTCGAATAGAAGAGAAAAGTTTGGAAATATATTCCTGCATTTTTAAATTTCTAAAAATATTTAAGAATAGTTTCCTAATATTGGAAAAATGCAAACAACGCATTTTATCTGAGATCTTTGCGGATATATTGGCAGTCTAAAAATATATATATTCGATGATTTGATTATACAAAAAATTTTTGTGAGGAGAATTCAATTAAACAAAACTTTAGACTTTTGGAAATTATTAAAATACGTAAAAAAAGCGCCTAAAATATTTGAACTTATGCAGTTTTTCCCTTATATGCAAATCAAATTTGTCATAAATACATAACAAATATATGTGTAATCAGTTAATCAGCACAAGAAATTAAAAAAAATTCCTGCTAAATTACTTATCAAACTTTAAAAAATTTTGAATTCAACTAAACACAAAAGGGAAGAACGAAATTGCAAAATGTGTACCAAACTCAGGAATAAATTGGTAAAGAAAGCATAATTTTTAAGTCATTCTTTTTCCATGCCCTACAAACTTATTATGTTTCTGATGAGCCGAATTATTCGCGTGAATCGAATTGTTACCGAGTACAAGAAAGAAAGAAAAGAACACTCGATTTAAAAAAAAGTGGGTACGTGTTACTCTAAAAAAGTTTGAATGAGCTAGAGAATACCATCTCATTAAAGAGAAGAAGCCCATAAACTGCAGCAACGTATGCACACCGTGAAGGCGCTAGTTAGCTGGTGGTGGCTTTGGCAATGGCATTGTTGCAGAAATTGGAACACAAGGATGATAAAGACGCGAAGGGAAATAAAGCCTTGTTATGAATGAAAGTGGGATTTGAACGAGAAGACGAGACCTACATAACTGTGAATTGTTGGCGAGGATGATGATGAGCACCGCATTTTTTACTGCCTGCAGCACACTCGTGTAATACTTTTGCAGATTATAATGTGCACTGTGTAACCCACAGACGGCCAAGCCAGCCATCAGCTTTAAGTACACGGCGAAAAATAAATCTAGTCCATCCAAATACATTGTTAATCCTTCCTACTTTATGCATTTAGACGGGGTAGTATTTGCGCCATGGTTGAGGGCTACAACATGGGCGCAAGTTAGTAGAGAAATGTAAACGATGTACCTTAAGGCTCTCTTGTTCCTGTAAAATTACGATGATTTTTGACAAATTAGGACCAGATTTTAGTTAAAAATAGGTACGAATATGTAAATCTAGTCCAACTAGATATGTAAATCCCCCTTAGTTTGCACACAGCTCCACTAACTTGCGCCATAACTAAGTGCTACAACATGGGCGCAAATTAGTGAATTTTCAGCCTACCAACTTTAAAAACTTCCTGTCCGCATAACAGGAGGGCGGGGGGCGAGGGTGGAGACCGTAGATAAAACTTTGTTTCACGCTGCGTCACCTTTTATGTCACGTTTCGGTTTCTGGCATAGATTTGTAATTGTGTAAAGTGAAGAGTAAAACGGTAACGGTGAGTGATGGGCGCCTGATTATGTACATCCATCCCTCCACCACTGAAAAGATGCACAGGTAGGAAGACGAGATTATGAAAAGTATTCCGCGACCTCCTTTATTTATCCTCATCGACACGGCGTCTGAATAATATTCTCCGTCCGTCCGCATATACTCACCAACCTAAACCTTCGTCAGTCAGTTAAATTTGCACCCCTGATTTTCCACTCGGAAATTACTCTGCAAAGATCCGCCAATCAGTGACGCATCGTCATTAAGGTGACGACGACGACGATAATAATGATGCAAGCCGCTGCCCACTATGAATTTCGTTTGTCAACTGCTACTTAGGCGTTGTTTTGTTTTTGTCGTGGTTGGTGTGCATATGCATGCAAAGTGGGACAATAGTCCACGAGGAGGGAGGATGAGATGCAGTTTTCAAAGCCCTCATTTTTTAACCACTCGTCATCATCATCCACTGTCCCGAAGCGGAATAATTTCACCAACACCACCACCATTTTGCATTCAATGCCTATAACTGTACATTGGCATAATAATAAGTAATAATCTGGTCATAATTATGGCATCATTTCGCCTCCTGGAAATTAATTGTCGTGACGTGAATTGTCCGCATTTGATAATGTCACCCCTGCGTATTTTTCACCTGTCGAATTACGTACGTCCCACTTCCTGCTCGTAAAAAATGCACACTTGTTTGTTTCCTTTTTTTATGGGGCTTTGTTTTTTTCTGTTATTTCTATCCAGACCTCGATCTCTCTCTCTCGGATTTAGTGGTACATTTAGTGACAAAGGAGAATTAATAATGGTGTCAGTGGTGTGGTGGTGGAGCTAACGGATTTTTAGCGATCGTACATAATTTACATAGTTCTCTGTCATGGCTTTATTTGGAAATGTAGGTCAAAATACTTGGTAATAAGTATGTTATTATCTAATGTGAGTAACTACACATGTATTGTACGTATGCTCCAGGTAAATGGATGTGGAAATCAGACTCGTATAAGCACGCACATTATTTTATCCTGATTGAATTGAGCACGGGATAAAATGGGATATTGTGTTGAGCACGGCGTGAAATTATTGAGGGTCATTGGAGCTGAGTGAGTGAGTAAGGATACGATTTTGTAACAAATCTCAAGGTTTCCTTCCACGTTGCGAATTCCATCCATCCATATTACTAAACATACGTAATATTGCCAATAATAAGTGAGTGAGATGAAATCAACCTGCACTAGATTTGCATAAGGGCCAAAGTCAATGTCAAGTACGTTGTACGTACGAAGAAGACATCTCCATCCACATGCATAATTTATTCCCACTCTCATTTTTGCCCTGTCTACTTGAGAAGAATTAAGGAACTTGACTTGCGGAAGAGAACGGTCTGCAAACGATAAGGTCGTGGCCAAGGACTTGGACAATAAATAATAATTATGCAGCATTAGCCACCACCATCACCACGCTTAACGTGTCTATGTCTATGTAATGTAATGTGACCGACCCCCGTGTAAATGTATTGGTCCATTTTTTATGCCTCCATTCCATCATCAATTGAGCTTCATTTCATCACTGGGCTTTTTATTATTCGAATTTATAATAATTTGCACAGCATAATATTCTCTCTGTATTTACAGTGCGAGGCTCAATGTCACCCCAATAATAATACACAAGTAAATACGTACGTATCTGTACGTTACTTCGTTTCCTACTAATTTGGCCATAATTCTTATGCTGATGAATGAATTATGCTATGCGAGCGAGTGAGTGCGGTTATGTGTCTCATGACATAACACTCCATCCCATGTAGGAATACGTTAATGTGTGTAATGCATTGATTGATCCTCTACATACTGACTCATCCAAGCATTACGTAAAAAAGATAGCGTTGGTTGTTGAGATCGTCACATTTCCGGAGTCGTCAGAGAGGAGAGAAGCACTCTGTTCAAGGCGAAAGTAAGGGCGAGAGGAGGAGAGTATCGATTTTGTAAGAAGAAAAATGGTCCTTGACTCGCATAATGCAGAGACTACTGGCCCGGATCCGGAAGTTACGATACGATACGTTCAGCCTGGAGAGAGAGATAG